AATCCATAAGCGAAACACCCTCTGAACATGATTCAAGCCAGATCTGGTATATAATGCTGCATCCTGAGTACACCTGCACACCAGCAGACAGCGCTTTCCGTTTGAGCCGAGACAACTCCGTGCGTAAAAATCCTTGGTGCTTCGGTGCGTCAGGTGCAGCTCATTTCCTTAATGCAAATGCCCCGCTCGCTGCGTGCTCTCACACTCTCCCACCTTCCACTAGTATCCTGCCCTCAGGACCGACCGGTAGCCGCCTCTGCTCCTTTAAGGCAATGAGGAATTAAAGCGTCTGCAGGGGCAGGGGAGAGGGTTATTCTGTGTAATGCTCAGAGAGTCAGTGTGGTGCGATTAGAGAGCGGCAGCGGGGAAGATGCGCTTACTCGCCTCTTGCTGGACGCACAGAGGCGATGGAGATGATCTGACTTTGGAGTCTGAGAAAAAAACCTGTTTTTCATTCTTATACTACCACCCTCTCCCTTCTGTTTGCTTCTTTGCTCTTTTAGTTCTTTTAATTTTCTAAAAAAAATAAGATTTTTCACCCCCAAGGATGATCCGTCAGACAGTGTTATATTTAGGAAATCGGAGCTTCTGACATTTTTTTTTTCTTCTTCAAAGATTTTAGTTTAGCCAGTTTTGGGGGGAATTCATTATGGTTTCAGGATCCGCTCTTACCCGGCTCTGACTCAGCATCACACACACCTGGGCTTCACCCCTTCAGCATCCTTTTGAATAACAGGGAGAAGCAGCAAGACGCGGAGCAGAGGAGGAGAGTCTGAGCACAGCTCTCCACAAGACAATCACAGAGGCTCATTTATGGTCCAAGCGCAAAAAAGACAGCTCAGAAGGAAAATCAGTGTAACGAAAAAAGTAGGAACGAGATATTAAAAGTAGATACTTGGACCGGTTTGCTTCAAGACAGTGGCAAATGTTTAACCTTACCCCAGGCGCACAGAAGAGAAACCCAGGGAGGCACCGGTCGGAGGAAGAAGAGAAAGCATAGCTTGGGGGGATTGAACGGAGCAGGGCATGTGGATATTGGCTTTTATCTTTTTCCAGAGCATCTTGAATGGTAAGTTTTACCTGCTCATCTTTGCTTTTTCTTTTTGTTTTCTTTTTTCAGTCTTTTTTTTTATTTTTATTTTTTTTTATTAGTGCTCATTACCTACTGCAGAAGGCAAATCACTGGTAGACAGCTAAGTGACTAAAGAGGGAGGATGGAGGTCACCTGTGACCCACATGAAATGGATTTTATATGGTTGTCAAAAGGCTGACACCCTTGATAGAGGGAAAGAGACGGGCGAGGCATGAATTGCGTTTTAAATCCTTCAAGCTCCCCTACAAACCATTAGACACATCTCTGGCCTTCAGGTATACACCCTCAGCCAGATGAAATAAAAAGGGATAAATTATACTTGCTTGAGCTTTTATGTAATTAATTTGTTTGATTGTCTTGATTTCGGTTTTCTAGTTTTAAGTTTTAATTGTTTTGAATTTGCATCTGATGAATCTGACTTGCATCTGTTTTTATTTTATGCCTAATGTTACTTATTCTGTCACAACCTTGTTCCACTGTGGCCCTTAGTAATAAGTGACGTCTTTGATATAATGGACATTTGGTTTAACCCTTTCCCCCTCTGCCACAGTTAACATTTTTATCAAGTTTTAAATGGCCTAAATGAATATAAAGCATCAAAATGGTGAATTCACACTGATATTTTAAATTCAGTGATCCATATTTGCATTTGAATAATTTTTTTATTCAAAAATATTGAATTCTAATCATGGCTCCGTCAGAATTTTAGCAACATTTCCACAGCCAAATTTAAATGCAGCTTTACGTTATTCACCTTTAAATGCAGTTTGTGGAGAGAAAACGAGCTCTATTAGTACAAAGTGTTCTTGTAAGTGATTTAAAAAATGTAATGTTTTTGATGAGACACATTCCACAAAGGTCACCTTTTTTCCCCCCAGGAAACGCAAAAGTACACACACAAAAAATTTAAATAAATTTAAATTCAAATACTTGATTCTAACACCCCAGATGTGGTTGTGCGTCTTATCTGCGTTTTCTTGTACACATGTATAATCGCATGCATGTGTACCATTGCACACATGCATGCGGCCGATACCGTGCACGCATATTTGTGTGCTCATATAGTGTATCTATAATCAATAGTGGAAAATTGATACAGTTTATTGTATTCACTTATTGGTCAGAGTCCCTTCTACAGGGAGGGATTATGGCTGACTGGGTGTGTACGAAAACAGGCAAAGAAAAAGGGAGAGTTGAAGAAGGAGAGGAAGGAAAATGGAAACATGACTGTAAGAAAAACACACCAGGGTGACAAGATTCAGGGATTGTTCGCATATTGGAACAAAACAAGCCAACCGTTGGATGCATTTGTATCAAAGGGTCAAAAAAAAAAAAAAAAAAAAAAAAGCTGAATTCACAAAGCAAAAATTGTGGAAATGGGGATTTACAGGTATGAATACATTTAACCGCATCAAGGGGCTGTTATATGATATGGTGTGTCCCCAAAATGGATTTTCCCTTCTGGCCGGAATGATAAAATAAGGCTTCAAAATGGATTTTTGTTTCTGTCGACGCTTTTTCAGTGCTGAGGCAACCCTCAGTCGGTGCCGTTTATTGACATTGACTCCACATAAAATGGTATCTCCCTCAGCCCAGCTTGTGCTGAAACTCATAAAGGAACAATAAGGAATCCTCATTAATCATAATCATCTGACTCTGACATTAGATCAACTGCCATGCAAGATTGTGTCCGTTTATTGCATAAGGGATTATTGAGGAGGCCCTTGGCAAACAACTGATAGGGATTAAGCAGCAGACAGCGTTGAGTGCAGACATTACACTTTTTGTGTTTGTCATTTGCGCTGCAATGTTTTTTTTTTTAAACCCTTTTTTTATGTATACGTTTTTAGCGCTTGCTGTTGATTTTTATTCGATTTCTCCATCACTGTCGAGGAGCCGAGCCGTACGACTTTGTCCTCTGTGGCTGGATGTTTTGTTGATTATCATGAAAATGAGGTGTTCATCGGCTGAGCAGTCGTTGTCAGAATGAATGAATGACCTTGTAGATAGAAGCCAGCACAGAGATTGGATTCCAGACAATTCTTGCTGTTTCAGAGTTGGGCCTATCACGTGCTCACTGGCCTGTCTCTATGGTAACCTCCTTAATGGGTGTCAGGGGCTGCGTCCTAAAACATTCACCCATTCACTCCTCAGTATATGGGGTAGAAAAGCTATATGGTGTGTTGTCGTCTGGTGGCCATAAAACAATTATTCATGTCAGTCACAATCTGTGGTGGTGGTTGGTCCGTTTAGTCATGTTCCACATTGCAGGGTGGGATCATTTTCATCCACAATGTTGGGGGTAATAAGTCCTCGCAAATTGGACGTCTCTACAAAATGGCAGACTCAGGAAATAAGAGACTGTATGGTGATCATGATGTGAAGCTGTGACTGTTGTGGCAAACCGAGTTGGTCCGGAAGTAGTTGACCTGGAGCTAATCGCATCCTGTTACATCAGCGTGTCCACAGGTGTGTGACCAAGGTGGCTTTTCGTTGTGTTTCCTGCTCCCCTCGCTTGCATCTCTTGAGGATGTGAGCTATAGGATGCACCTGTGCACTTGAGATATGTTTAAGAGATTTGGAGATCCTCCATGATGGCAGAGGGGGAACAATTTCCAGGTCAGAGGAGGAGAGAAAACACAAGAAAGCAGCATAATGAAAATCCCCCCAAATGACAACCATGTGTCTCGCCGGCGTTTTCAGGGTTCCTTTGTCAGCTTAACGAACTCTGGAACCTATTAATGAAAGGGGAAACAGATACACACCTGGACAATGCTCACAAATGTCCATTTTAATTGCTCTCATCGTGGAAATAATTGCAGTTCATTGTCCATTATCAAGAGGAGGCAAAAGACAATCTCACTTCTTACTCTTTTGATTCCACACGGTATAAAAATTAAAATGGTAAATCTGACACGTTCCCCAGCCAACAGGCATAATTATTTTTTGTATTCGGTTTAAGACTTTATGCTTTTGCTATTTCTTGTGCCTATCAAAGTAGAATCTATAAATTCAGTCATCAGTACAGGAGAGGAAACATTAAATATCTCTGCCTGAAAGCTGCCTCTAGGCAAAACCACAGCAAGCTAAACTGGCGTATTCAAATTCTCATTGCAAAGATATAATGAGACAAGGCTGCTCACAGAGTCCCCACAAAGACTATGATGATTTGTAGACATACGTGCGGCTTAACCTGACGCTTAAAAAGGACTTATCTCGTATGTCTTCAATAAATGAACATTTACACAGAGGTCAGGAAATCAGGCAATCAAATTTTGATCTCAATTAGCTGTGACCTTTCTTGTACTAAACACACATCCACTATGAAATAAGAAAGCTCTTTCAGAGCATCAAGCCCAGTGTCGCTTACAGTACAGTAAATAGCTGCCAACATCAGTTAGTCTGCCAATTTTACATGACCCCATATTACTAGCAACCTGAAACACAGGATGGAAATGCTGCGGAGACTGAGGTGGAAACAGAGATTGAACTTGGCTGAAGCAGAAAGGGGGAACTGGTGTTTGCGTGGTGATAAATCTACATGAAGGCAGGTCGCTGATGAGAGGCTCATTTGTCGGAGCTGTGAGGTGATTCTCAAGTCTCTGTCAGGATGTCCAAAGATCAGTGGCCGCCCAGTGGCTGCAGTGTCCGTTCATAGGCTGTGTAAAGCAGTGTAGTGAAACCTGACCAGCCTTACGTCTGCACTCACAGCCATTAGTCTGTTTACTAATTACCAATTAGGGTTTGGTTGCACAAGCGGTATCATAGCTCATGAAATTAAATTACCCCATGAAAACACGTAGCGTACAGTCAAGTGATAGATCATCTTGTGCAGCCTTACTCTGATATGAATATCTAATGGGCTAAATTAAGTTTACAAACCCACTTAACTCTGACTCACTTGTGTGAGTTATAAGAGGGTTTGTTGGGTTACATTTTGAACTCTGCGCGTGATTCCAGTTGAAAGGGCTGCTAATGTTGGGTAATGGATACCCTGATGTGTGATCATAATAGATAACCCCTAGTTCATACAGCTGTATAATGAGGGCTAGTCTACTGTACCGTACCTCCTCGAGCCTGTCTAGCTCTCTAATTAGGACGAAGCTTTGGTGACTTGCGTGTGTGTGTATGTGAGTGTGTGTGCTGCGTTTCACCCAATGTAAAATCTAATTACCGATCACACTGTGTCTGTCTGGATTTCACTGAATCGGAGGTGTAATTGCGCAAGCCCGCGTGTAAATGTCTCTTGCATTAAAATGTTAACGATATCATTTAGCATCTGCAGGGAAGAGCAGAAAAGCCCTCAGCACCCAGATGTAGGTGTTTGATCATGCGTGCAAAGTGAGGTTGTAGTACATCTGGCGGGGGTTTCCCTCTCAGACAGGGTTCTCAGTAGAGAGGATGTTTTTAATTCACTCAGCACCTGTCAAAGTGACATGTTATATTACTGTGCTGCACAGCACAGGTGCTGTAGCAGAGGAACTGGTGTAAAAGCTTTATTTGACAGTTTAAAACAGGCTAAGTCAAGAAAGAGGCACTTCTCTCTTGTACAGAGGTGCTTCTATCTTGGCACAGGAGATTGTGACCTGTGACTTTCTGCATGACTATTCAAGAGTCCTGCAACTCTTTTCTTGACCCACAAGCCAAGACAGTTATGTGAAGAGTACGAGTCAACTGATATGGTTTTCTCAGACTGATGCGATGAGTAATAATCAAGGAGCTCGATGGCCAATATTTGGAACTGACATGCATGTGCAGGAAAGAATAAAATTGTGGTGCTACAATTTTGAATAACTCAAACTCCATCACAAATGATATGTCTTGTGTCTGTTTTACATATGTTAAATTAAAGAAGAACTTTTAGACATTTATCCTTCAGTGTTGTTGTTTGTGGTGTGTGATGTAACGACATCAATAATTAGATGCTGATTCTGATTTAATAAGAATCAGAACCTCGTATTCAACTGTTGCCTGAT